GCTGTTCAGTTGAGCTCCACGTCCGGTTCACACGATCTCTCGAAGAGCGAGGGCAGCCCCGTTGAACTCGGGTTGGCCGCAGGCCAGCTCCTGTAGAGGTAGAGGCAGCAGCACGAGCTGCGCCCTCACCCAGAATATTCAAGCGCTTTTTCAAGCTGGGCGCAGGGGAGGAAGAGGGGGAGGAGGAGGAGGTCCAGTCCAAACCCAAGACTCATCAATGATATTGGAATGAAGCGTCCCTCCAAGCTCCCTCTTCACAGACCCCTACAAGCAACCAGTTCCACGGCAGAGAATGCCACATTGGGAGATAACTGTTTGACGACCCTGAAGCGTGCTAAAACATCATTCTCGGGACCCCAGCGCCATGAATCAACCTGACTGTTGTGTCTTGACGATCTTGAACGGTGCCAGAATACCATTCGTGGGACTTCAACACTGCGAATCAACGTAACTGCTGCGCCCTGACAACCCTGAACAATTCCATAACACACCTTCTGGTAGGTTGACCATGAGAATCCCTGAAACTCTTGCAAAACATTAAAACGAATGCGCGCGGCACTAAAACAAGAACCCCGTGTTGAAAAGGAACCGCCCTCAATCCGTGAAACTCTTGCACTGCTTAACACGAGTGTGCGCGGCGCTAAGGCCAGAGCCACATGTTGAAATCCACCCGCCATCCACCTGTGAAACAATTACCATTTCTTAAGCTTCAGCTTCAGGACCATAAAACGTAAGGACGCCTCATGCGAAAAGCACGGCCTGCCCTTCCGACTGGCCTCAAAGTGCGAGAGAAAAAAATGTATAAGGAAAAGGAGTGGGAGAGGAGGGGGGGTGGGCTGGCACAATTTAGAACTTGGACTCGGACTCGGACTCGGCCTGCTTCAGGCACCGCGAGGGTGCTGCAGGGTGGGGCCGAAGCGTCCAACAAATGCAAATAACAGTGAAACAAATTCAGCATATAGTGAGACTACAACGGACAATAACAAGATGCGTGACGAATGCAACTATGACCTGTGTACTCGCCGGCCGGCCGCTCATGTGACGATGTAGCGAAAATGGGTAGAACCAATAATACTGTGCAATGTACACGTATACAGCGTACAAACATGTTTGTACAAGTACGGATGGCAATCACATTGTGGAGAAAATGCACTTGTAATCGTCGTCGGCCGCCGTGTGGACCCCAAGCGGTGTGTACGCCATATGTGTATGTCATGATCGGCACAGGTCTGCACATGCTGGTGCTCGCCGGTCTGCACAAGTCGGCACATGCTGGGGTGGGGTGGGAGTGGGTGGGAGTCGGCACACGTCTGCACATGCTGGTGCTCGTCGGTCTGCACAAATCTGCACATGCTGGGGTGGACGGGGAGGGGGTGGGATAAACAGCAAAGGAACTCCACTTTGAAGTCAAAGGAGCAGCCACTTTCGGATTTGGACTCGCACGGGCTGTGTTTACGCGCGGGCACAGCGAGGGCATGTGGTCGACCTGCGCGCAGGTGCGGGTGCGAAGCCCCATGAGCTAGCTGACAAGTTCGAGCATGGGGAAAATCAGCGAAACTCTCTCGGCGTCCCTGGCTTCATGAGCACAAAATGCTCTCGTGCACATGCCTCTAGCCAAATAGGCCCACAGGTGGACGACCCGAGAGAGCAACAGCAGCAAGGGGCAGGCAGAGGAGGGAACCTCGCCCGAGGACTGGGACGAGCCCATGTTCATGCCGCCTGGCTAGCGCGAGCTGTGCCAGCGGCTGGTGGACCTGCGTCATCTGAGCTAGAAAGACTCAGCGGCAGCTAGCCGCGCGTTGCGCGACTGCCGCGTGCAGCGACTCCGACTGAAGCATGCGTTCTCTGTCACTGGACCCATCCTACGTTTCACACTGCACCTGAACAAGACCGAGCTGCCGCAATGTGCGGCACATCTCTCCGCACCGAGAGACTGCAAATCATCGACGCCACGGCGTCGAGCGGAATCGGCGAGAGGGGCGGGCGCTCCGCGGCTCTGCGGCTGAAGCTGCTGATGCTGCCGCTGCTGGTGCAAGGCTTTCAAAAGGAGAACCTGTAGATCACTCCGAACGGCCTCGGCGAGTGGGGCGGCACGGGGTTCGCCGAGGAGCTGCTGGAGGCAGCGCCGTGGACCACCGCGCCGGGCTCGACCGCCTGGGGACCAAGGCTGCTGCTACTGCCGATGGCGGGTGCATGCTGCTGTCGAAGCTGCTGCTGCTGCTGCTGCTGCTGCGGCTGCTGCCAGTGCTGGTAGTGCCACTGCTGGTGGTGCCTCTGCAGCTGCGACTCTGGGATAAGCACGAGGCCTTCTGGGTGGAGCGCTGAATTCGCCTCCAAGCCCTGCAACTCGGAAGGCAAGACCGCAACCACCCTGGCCTCCGCCCCTGGGTAGGAGAGCTCGCGGTTGTCGAAGGACCGCTGAAATGCCTCCGCGCCCTCGGGCGCCAGAAAATTCACAAACGCAAAGCCGCGGTTCCTCCCCGTGCGACCGTCCTGGGGGCAGTGGAGGAAGTCGTACGCGAGGCCCGCCTGGTGGATGTCCCACTGCAGCTTCCACTTCGGATACGAGTAGGGAACGTTCAGGATGGCCATGGTGGTGGCCCCCTCGCTGGCTCGACCGTCGGCGCCTACCTCTGGAGGGCCGTGCCAGCGCACCAGCTCGGCCAGCGGCGCCCCCGCGCCCGGCTCGGCGGCCGCCGCTGCCCCCGGCCCGCCCTGCGCTGACCGCGGGGCAGTCGCAGCCGCGCGGCCGCGCTGGAGGCCTGGCCCGAAGCCCGGGGCCCACACGGCGGGCGGCCAGGGCGCGCCGCCGCCGCCGCCGGAGGTGTGCCCGCCACTCGGCGCCGCGGCGGCGGCGGCGGCCCGCGGCCGCGCCGCGCGGGGGACGGCCTCCGCGGGCAGCGCTGGCTGCGCGCGCGGCGGCGCGGCGGCGGGGCCGCGGTGCGCCCGCGGACGCGGCGCCGCCGCGCCCGCGGGCAGATGCTGCGGCGCCTGGCGCGGGCGGGGCGCGGGCGGCCCCTGGGCGCGGGGGCCGGACGCGGCGTGCCTCTGCGGTGTGCCGGCCATCGTGCCGCGTCGTGACATTTGGAGCAGCGCTCGGGCGGCGGCCAGAGGGGCCAGCCAACTCGAGCGGGCGGCTGCTGTCATGATGATGTTGACGATGGTGTTGTGAGAATGATGATGATGATGCTGATGATGATGCTGATGATGCTGCTGCTGCTGCTGCTGATGATGATGGTGATGATGATGATGATGGTGATGATGATGATGCTGATGCTGATGCTGATGCTGATGCTAATGCTGCTGCTGCTGCTGCTGCTGCTGCTGATGATGATGATGATGCTGATGCTGATGCTGATGCTGATGCTGCTGCTGCTGCTGCTGCTGCTGCTGCTGCTGATGATGATGATGATGATGATGATGATGATGATGATGATGATGATGATGATGATGATGATGTGAGTGTGTGAGTGAGAAAAGAGGGGGAGTCCTTCAGTCCTGTTCCTTCGCGGGGTGTCCAGGGAAAACAAGCACCCCATTTTGGATGTGGTGAAATTTTCAAAAGTAAGCAAAAATAGTCCAATACAGTCAAGAACTCGTCACTGGACTATTTGTTGATCATTACTTGATAGTCCTCCTGTAGAGGGACGTGCCCGACCTAAGACAAAGAACACAACCAGACACGACCGTTTGGGTACCTATTTGAGCCGAGCCCTCGCCACGACGCAAGCAACCGCTTCACAAACAAAAACACTCCCGGAACCCTGCCTCGGGGGTGGGTCGCAAACGTGCTCCGGGCATGTGCCTCTTGGCCTATGGGCAGCGGATTCCAGAAACCCTGAACTCAAAAAAACGTTTTCAATCTCCCCTCTGGGCCTAGAGGTGGCGGATCCCGGAAGCCCTGAACCGAAAAACGTCTTCCTCTCCCCTCTGGGCCTACGTAGGTAGCGGACCCCCGAACCTCTGGACCCAAAAACGTTTGCATCTCTCGGGGGTACGTCTTTTACCTCCGCCGCGTTCCGCTGGCCTCTTCCGCCGGCCTCCGCTGGCGGAGGCGGCCTCGAGAGGGGGGGGGGAGGTGCTTCCCCGACTACCCACAAGACCACCCAAAACCCAACCCGAAGGCCCGAATTTCGGGTTGGGGGGGTACGGGCTTCATATGTGTTTTTCGAGGCTCCCGGACCCCCCCCCCTGATGGAAATAAAGGGCAAATCAGGGCCTTCGGGTTGGGCTGGGGTGGCTTGGTGGGCGGTAAGTCCCGGTCACCAGCCCCTCGCATGCTCCTTCCGAGGCGCTGTCTCGGCCGGCACTTCCAGGGGGGTAATTAAGGTCCCCGGGGCCCGAGACAGCACGAGGGCTTGCCAGCCTCGAAGGCGCCATTGCCCCTGGCAGGAGGCATCGTTTTCGCGAGGGCTTCTCGCTCCAAACACGGAGTGTCATACAGTGGAGGCACGACCACCAGAAACCTTCCCCAAAAAAACACACCTTGAGACCCCAGGACGTCCATTGATTTTGTGGTGTAGGAGCGTCGCGCTTTCTGTATCAAAACCATCGGAACACAAGAAACCCAGGGCACCCTGGAGGCAAACAGGGCGCTTCTTGGCATGGGTCTCCACTGAAGCTCTTGCACCATCGTCGACCTCGGGTAGTCGCGGTCAGGAAGCGTTGAGACGGGCTAGTGTGTGGAGAATCTCGTGAAGCTGGCAGGCAGCGCGGGAGAGGGGAGAGGGAAGGGAACCATCGCTGGAGCAGGAGAGGTGTATACCCGTCTGCTCTGTACTCAAGCTGCTGCGCTCTCTGGCAGACGCTGTCGTGAGAATTGGGGGGCGGAAAGATACGGATACGTGTTGTCCCCGGACCTCTCTTGGGGTGCGTTCTGACCAGAATTTCGAAGCGAATCCAGCGGTGACAACGAGGATTCCCCAGGAGGACCAGGAAAGGCCGAAAACGAAGGGGGACAACACGTATCCGTATCTTTTTCTCCCCCGAGAGAAGAGGTC